GGACTCGAACTCACAAGCTGTGAGATCATGACCTGAGCTGAAGTCAGACGCTTAGCTGACTGAGCCACCCAGGCACCCCATGCATTGTCTCATTTAATCCACAATAAGCCAGTGCTAAATTTCTCCCTATGTTACAGATGAGAAGATTGAGTCTATGAGATATGAAGCGACTTGCCCAAGTGGCTAATGGTTAGTGGAGTCAGGATTAGGACCCCAGGCTAACTCCAACCGTAGGTCCTAATTAACTGCCAGACCTCCTTGCTGAGTGATTTAGCAGGTCCAGAATTGAGTTCTGTCCATGTGTGGTTTCCACCCCGGCACTGACTTTGCCTCTGTGTGCCTCAGTTTCCTCCTCTCTAGATAGGGATTCATGAGGCATTTGTATAAAGAAGCTACCGCATACTAGGTGCCCACTAGAAGCCGGCTACGATTACTGTTGCTATTTCTTGTTTTAATTGCTATGACCCTGGAGCCTCATAGCACCGTTCTGCTCCCTCTCCTTCACTAAAGCTTTTCAGGTACTTGCAGACAGTGATGGTGTCTCTGCCCAGGCCTTCTCTTACATGGACACGTCACCTGCCTTCCCTTCAACCGTTCCTTGGATGACAGTTTCACACCCCTCCGCTGTGCTGCTGCTTGTACACTTCCAGTCGTGTTTCATTTGTCTGTGTGTCTCCTAAGGTGAGTGAGCTGGCCAACAACCCCCTCTAGCGTCAGGCCATCATGCAGTGGTAAGAATTGTGTTACAAGGTGTGTGTGCTTAATTACATTGCAGTGGCCTCTGTGATACGGGCTGTGTCCTCCTCCCCCCGTCCCACCTTTCTCCCTCCCCCACCTGCAGCCCCAGCAGCCTGAATTCCCTGGTGGTTCTCTGTGTGTGCCTTGCACTCATTCTGCTGCCTCTGGACCTGTGCACATGTTGGTCCCTCTATCCGGAGCACGTGCTTCCCTCCCTCAGTCTCCCTTACTGTATGTATAAATGCATATCACCTGGGTACTTCCTACTTGTTCACATCTCCGTTTAGACATCATTCCCAGGGCATCTGAGTGGCTCAGTCCACTAAGCGTCCGACTTCGGCTCAGGTCATGATCTCACTGCTCATGAGTTCAAGTCCCGTGTTGGGCTCTGTGCTGACAGCCTGCAGCTCAGAGCCTGGAGCCTGCTTCCGTTTCTCTCCATCTCTCTTCCCCTCCCCTGCTTACTCTCTGTCTCTGTCTCTCTTTCTCTCTCTCAAATATAAAATTAAAAAAAAAAAAAAAACATTAAAAAAAAAAGTAGACACCATTCCCTCCAGAAGCCTTGCCTGACCCCAAAGCCAATTTCTTTGTGCCCCCGCAGTTCCCTAAATGTCCCCTATCCTCACTCTTCCAGACTAGTAGCTTCTTGAGAGCAGGACAGTATCTTCTTCCTGCCATGTCCCTGGTGCTTAGCCCAAAGTAGGTACTCAAGGATTATATGTTGAATGCACGAGTAAATGCCCCTGCCAGTGCACAGAACGTGCCCTCCCCTTCATCCCCCAGGCCTAGCACACACGCCCAGTTCCCTCTTGGGTCATCACTGACCTTTTCCAGGGCCTCCTTCAACACAGGGAGGGGGTGGGCCAGCGGCACAGGCTCAGGGTGTCGGGGACACATCCTCACAGGGGCAGAGGCCACCTCTGGTCCCAAGGAACCTATAGGGAGCATCACATGGTGAGTGGGGGACAGAGCTCAGGGTAGGAGTCTAGGGATCATCCTAGAAGAGGTGGGAAGGTGGCAGCAAAGGCCAGAACCGTGCCTTGGGGCTGGCCCTCCCAGCTGGCAACAGCCTCACCAGGAGATAGATAGCAGGGCACAGCGCCCACCATGGGGGCGGATGCCTGAGAGGAGAAGGGACAGTCCCACACCCACCACCTGATGATTGGCCTTCAAAATACCAATTAGGCCAAGGCTCCTGGCTGGCAGCCCTTTTCTCTTGTATGACCAGCTTTCTCCCTCCATGTAGTCAGAGGAGTTAGAAAAGTTCGAGCTCCTTGGGGCAGGCTCAACCATGTCTTTCTGTCTGTCTGCCTCTGTTTCTCTAGTTCAGATTATATATTTGAGTGGAGAGGTGGACTTGGGCCCCGCTTGGGCTTCAGGCCTAAATCATAAGGCCAGTGCCTGTGTCACCAGAGCTGTGTGTCTGGAATATCAGGTCTAAGTCCCATTCTGCTTTGGTCCAGGTGTATGGCTTCCTTGGAACCTCTGGGGAAAAGGTGTGGGCCCTGGCAGGACAGGATTCAGGCTGAGAGATCATCGCACGGGCCCCAGAACTCCCCTCATCCTCAGAGAGCAGTGTAGGGTAGTAAGGGTGAAAGCGCCCAGAGGAGCTGCACGCTCTTCAAATCCTACTCAGAACTGAGAGGAGCTTCTCTGTGGGAGGCTCACTATGGCCGCAAATCCTTCCAGCTCCTCCCACCTCTTGAATCCGGCTGGCCTTGTGACTTTGTCAGGACAAATCGATTGTGCACCTTAAGGAAGGTCTCTCAACAAATCCATGACATAGGTTTAATCATTGGAGTAGGGAGGTCTTGGCCAAAACCTAAGCTTTGCTCAGCCTGGGACTCAGGTAGGGCTGGTGCCTACAGCCCTGCATTAATATGCACGTGCACAGGGGCGCATAGGTGGCTCAGCCGTTCTAGCGTCTGACTTCGGCTTGGGTCATGCTCTCACAGTTAGTGGGTTCAAGCCCTGCTCTCAGTGAGGAGCCCGCTTCAGATCCTCTGTCCCTCTCTCTCTCTGCCCCTCCCCCGCTCTCAAAAGTTCTCTCCCAAAAATGAATAAAACCTTAAAAAAATATGCACGTGCCCAAAAAGTCATCTGGAAATATTTGAATGCATATTTGATTCAGTAGATACGGGATGGAGGCAGGGCATCCTCATTTCTAACAACCTCTCAGGTGGTACCCATGCAAGGGAGAGGACTTCGATCACTGTGGACAGTGATCGACCCGGTGATGGACCCAAGCAGGTCCACAAACTGTTTGTTTCCCATTTGTGACAAATTAAGTACAAAATTTGAGTGCACACATTTAGAAACTTCTATAGCAGTTTAATGTGGTAATTTTGTGTGGAATCTTAAAACTTGAGCTTCTGTTCTATAGTATTTTTTTTTTCATTTAGTTTCGTTTGTACGTACTTATAGTAATAACTGATCTGCTTCGGATTGGTACTTTGACCGTTGGCGAAGCATGGTCCTTTAGGACAGGCTGACCTGCCTACTTGAGGACTGTTTGCTTGAGGGACTGAGAAGCCCCTGGTAAAAGAATATACCCTAGAAAGAACAGGTTGGGGTGGGAGAGGAAAAAGCCAGCAAGAAAATAAAAGGAGGCATTTCTGCACAATGTCTCTGTGGGAATTTGGGAGCCCAGGCCACCTCATCGAGCCTTGGGCATCCGTAACACAAGAGGAGTGGAGAGAGACATTCTCCCCAGCGTTAGCAGAGAACTGGGATTCTGGATGATCCAGGTTGGAGGTTTCAGGGGTTGCTATAGCAACAAAGGGCCTGGTGGACATTGCCAGCAGCGGTGGCTCACTAGCCAAGCTTTGACCGGCCCAGGATGGAGAGGCTCCAACAAATGGCAGCTTCTGTCCACGGACACCTCGTTGTTCCTCCCAGGGTCTTAGATATAGCTGGGGGGAGATCTTTAAAGGGGTGGGGGTAGGGCCTGGAGATCCTACCATGGGGGCTGAAGATCAGGCAAGAGAAACTCTGTTTTACCTATTGGGAGTCCCTGAGATTTACAGCCAGACTGGGTGGTTTAAGGAAACTCCAGTGGCATTAGGATCTTCATTTTATACCCAAGGGCAACATGACACAGAAAGGTCCCTTGACTGGTCCAAAGATACACAGCTAGTGAGGGTTGGAGTCAGAATGAAGGCCAGAGCTTCTGAGTCCAAATCTTGTGGTCTTGCCCCTACACCCTCAAATCAGGTGCATCAGCTCCAGGCTCCCAGGCCCCACAGGGATAGGAAGGAAGTCAAGGATGCTTGTGCACTCACTGGTGTCCAGCTTGGGGAGGTGATATTGCCACAGGAAGCAGCCAGTCATAACCACAGAGAGCAGGAAGAAGAAGCTGCAGGAAGCTGGGAAGAGCCACTTCTTTTTCAGTTTCGGCAGGCTGGGCTGCCAGCCCACCTGGGAGGGGAAGGACAAGAGCACGGCCCCCAAGGGGGTCAGCCAGAGGGAGGCAGAAGAGGGACCCCTACCATGCCTCAGGTTCACCCAGACATCACAAGAGCCCACAGCTTGGGGCAGATATCACACCTGTAAAACCAAGGTCCTTCCCAGTGTGAGCCCTTCAACAGCTGTGCCACGTGTATTTCTGCACCTCTGGGCTTTTGCATGGCCTGCTTCCTCTGCTGGGCCTGCCATGTCTCTCCTGTGTACTTAGTGAAATAGCTAAGGCCGGCTGAAATGCCGCCTCCTCCAGGAAGCCTTCCCCAACTCTCCTCACCCAGACCCCCTCCAAGGCACTTTGGACAAGCTTCCATTGTGGTGGGAGTCCAGCTCTCTAATACAACGGCTGTTCAACTAGTATTAGCTGGTGCTCCTGATGGAGTGTGAGTTCTCCAAGGGCACTCACCACTCAAGCTTGTTAGATCTTAACATTTTGCCCTGTTTTCCTCATACCTCTACATTTTAAAAAGTACCACGTCAGCTCCTTGTTTACTTTATGGTCTGTTCATCCCATCCCATTAGAAAACAGGAGTTCGTTCACTCTCCCCCCTCTTTCTCTGCCCCTGCCCTGCCTGTGTTTGTGCTCTCTCTCCCTCTCAAAATAAATAAATACACATTAAAATGAAAGGAAGGAAGGAAGGAAGGAAGGAAGGAAGGAAGGAAGGAAGGGGAGGGAGGGAAGAAAGAGAAAGAAAGAAAGAAAGAAAGAAAGAAAGAAAGAAAGAAAGAAAGAAAGAAAAGAAAAGAAAAGAAAGAAAAAACGGGAATTCGTGATTTGTTTTACTCACCGTGGTATTCCCAGTGCCTAGAACAGTCCCTGAAACATAGCAGACCCTGATAAATAGTTGATGATGAATGAATGAATGAATGAATGAATGAATGAATGAATGAATCGACAAACATTCTGGGTGGAGGCGAAGCCCTTTTTGTACCACCTGCAGATTCCAGCCTCCTCCCCTTCTTCCCAGAAGTAGCACCCATTATGATCTTGGTGTTCATCATTACCATGCCTGTTTTCATTCATTTACTGTGTGTTCGTGCCTTCGTAAACAGCACGTAGTATCACTTTGCACATTTTTAAACTTATGTAAACTATAACCTACTGTATTATCCTCCT